TTGAGTCTTAGGGGCAGGAATTGTGTTGCAGATGTTTTTACGTTTTCAAAAGGGAATTTTTCCGATTAAGAACGCCTCCTTTGTGTTCTGTTTATTTCTTGATAAAGTCCTCTCACCTTAGGAAGGTGGAAAGTGTGGGAGTCGTGAAGTAAACAGACATAAACATGAAAATGGAGAACGGCAGAAGTAAAACATGTAACAAACGTAGGGGAAAAAAGGTGTGGTTCTTCAAGCTATCCTTGAGTGGTAAGAGCTGGGTAGGAAAGGCCAATGTGGTGATATTTGCAGTCACATGGGGAAAGCTTGGAGCAAGGAGATGCCCTGCCTTGTCCACTTCCTCCTGGCTGTTAATGAACTTGAACTCTTAAAGTGTGGCTCAAATATCAGTCATGACCATGGTACCTTCAGAGCTGATAGGATTAAGGGCCACATGCCCCATCTTGTACAAGTCTAGTCTTGGTGGTTTCAGAGGTTTTGGGAGATCTGGGTGGCTGATTGTACTCCTGGCACTGGTCTAGTTAACTGAAGTGCCTGTAAGTTCCCTCCTAGGCGGCTGTTATCCACCTCTCCCTCCACGCATGCACACCTCTTCTTTCCTGGGGCACGCCAAGCCTTTGACTCACTATGCAGAACACTGAAGCTCTGGGTGTCCTCCATCAGATTCACAACTGACCCTCCACTTCGCAGCCAGAGGCTCTGACTTTCAGCATAGCTTCCTCCTTAGCAGGTGACTTAGTTATAAACGGTGTTTTCCCAGCAAATAAACTTATAATCAGACTTGATGATTTTTCTGACCATTCAATCAAGGGCTGCTCTGGGGTGTGTGCAAATAAGGGCTAGATAGCAAGGTTGTTCGTGCCGTCTCAGCTTCTCTGCCCTGCTGTGATATTATGAAAGAAGGCATGGGCACTGAGAGAGCAGATGAACTGTGTCCCCACAAATAGTTTTCTTTTCAAAAACAAGACACACTACGTGTATGGGTAAAATATTGTAAAGATACTGACCGTAGGGCAGGCTGGCCTTGAACTTAAGGTCTTCCAGCCTCCCAAACAAAAAACATTTATTTATATGTAAACATTACTTGAATATAACTGTATACGGTCTCTGCTTAGCATATTGCTTTGAATAAATGAATTGTAAATTATTCTTAAACATTTATTCAAATGCATCTAGGCAATGTCTTACCTCCTCTCCATTGTGATAATAACCACACATTTTATGCTGGGAATGCTGATCCTGGTAGAGCACTGGCTTAGATGCAGGCTCTGTTTGATCACCAGTACTGAGAGAGAGAGAAAAAAGATTATTATATCTTGTTAACTTTCAATTGTAAATTCCTCATGAATTCTCTAGTCTTCTCTCCCAACAGAATAAGTTTATGAAATGATCTTGCATATTTTATTTTGTTAATCTATCCTAAACTCACATAATACTTAACAAAAGCAAGAACCCATGCAAGCACAGTGAAATAACACTAAACTAAAAGGTATTCAAGTGACAGCATATGTTAGTGCTTTGCTGTGAATGTGCGAAAAGTGTGCTGCCATCTTATGTCCTATATCTGCAAAACATTTATATGGCACACACCCTCAAAATACTGTATTTCATTTATAGTTAAGTTATGTATACACGAACTAGCACGTGGGATATTTTATTTATCTTTTGCTTATACAACCATGAAGGTAACAGTCTTCTGTTGGCTTTTCTCTGCCTTGTCCATGTTCTTGTCAGATGTGATTAAACCCATCACTGCTTTTTACCTCCCAAAGCTCTCCCTAGAGCAGTGAGGAGCCTCGATGCTAGGGCTATCCTGGCTTAGTTGCTATTGCTATCTCTCATCCTTGGGTACCAAGAACGAATGCTGTCCTCCATCCCCCAGTACTGGGGCTTGAACCTGGAGCTTCACACACTAGCCAAGCATTCTGCCAGTAAATATATTCCTGTGTTAGTTGGGGTTTCCATTGCTGTGAAGAGACACCATGACCACAGCAACTCCTTTAAAGGGAAACTTTTAAATGGGGCTTGTAGTAGTTGTTTTTTTTCCTTCCTTGCCTTAACTCCCAGAATAACAACTCATGAAACTTATTAAATATTATAAAAATATCTAGGCTATATAGCTAGGCTCTTCTCTGACTAGCTCATAACTTAAATTAACCCATTATACTAATCTACATTCTGCCATGTAGCTGGTTACTTGAGTTCAGGCACCATGCATCCGTCTTCCTCATCTTGCTGGCTAACTCTCCCATGCCTATCTCCTTCCCAGCATCCTTCAGCCTAATAGATGTTCCACCTTCTATTTCCTGCCTCAGCTATAGGCCATAGGTTTTTTTTAATTGACAGGTGTTGCAGCCATACAATACACAAGAGATTCCTTTTATGGGAGCTGATTTACAGTTCAGAGGTTTAGTCCATTACTGTCATGACAGGAGGCATGGTGGCATGCAGGCAGACATGGTGCTGGAGAGGTGGATCAGAGTTCTACATCACACAGACAGCAGGAAGAGAGAGTCGCACTAGGCCTGGCTTGAGTATCTGAGACCTCAAAGCCCATCTCTAGTGACATACTTCCTCCAACAATGCCACACTACCCCCACTAGTCCACACCTCCCAATAGTGTCAATCCCTATGGCCCATGGAGCCATTTTCATTCAAACTACCACAATCCCTAATCACCTTTCGACTTTTTATATAAAGACAGTGTTTTATAAGTTCCCTAGGTTGGCCTTAAGCTCAGTCTATATAGCTCAAACTGCAATTCTCCAGCCTCAGCTTCCCAAATAGCTGAGCTTACAGTCCTGTCCCACTGGTGCTGGGCAGTTTTTGGACGTTTAGTTTAAAGGTATATATTAGAACCTGCAAGTACACTTTCAGGTACACTGAAGTGTGCAGTAGGAGGGAATGAATAAGGGGGCGAGCCTCGAGTCTTCAGTATTGTGGAGGCACCATTCTTCCCTGAGGACTTCTACATAAGTGAGGGGAGAGCCTCGGTTTTAGTACCTAAGGGCCTAGTGCCAACCTGAGGTAAGTATCAGCTACAGTGCTTTCCTTTTTAAAGCATTCCAACTGGAGATTCCAGTACTGCCTTCTCATATCACCATGGACTATTTCTTCCTTCAAACAGACTTCGGAACTTATCAGACCATAGTTAGTAGATTAAATTACTTTCTTATTCTAAAGTGTCATATCTTTTATATTGTGATTTGAATGTTCTTTTTTTTAATTTTTGTTCCTTCAACTGTTTTTGGGCTAGAATCAAATTAATTTCTCTTGATCTTTGTAGTTCTAGCAATGCTTCATGCACAGGTGAGCATCAACAATGCATGTGGGGCCTGGGCAGTGGCTCAGCAGTAAAGCCTGAAGACCCAAGCTCAATTTCCAGAACCCATGTGGTAGAAGCAGAGAACTGATCCTTACAGAGAGAGAGAGATAAAGAGAGAAGTGCAAAAAAAAAATATGTACTCTTCTTTCACTCTAAAATGGGCTCAAGGAGTATTGAGTAGTATTTTTGTCAGCTTCTCTGAGACCGGGTTGTGTGTATCTATTCTCTCTTTATTTGGGTCCCCTCAGTTTCCTGAATTTTCCTTGCATCATCTAGAAGAGTCTCCTAAAGTTACTGCACTACTCATATCAAGTATATAATAGATCTCCACAATGTGTTTGCTCTCATTTTGCTGCCTAAGTTAGTTGCTTTTCTCAATATATTGCTACTTCTGACTCACAGAACATTGTTTTAAAAAGCATTGACATCTGGGCTCAAAGTGTTGATTTTGCTGAGTTCAAATCAATTATCTGAGACATACTATTATATATTCGTATGGCAACATAGTTTGGATATCCATCCTCTGGTGGGTGAGGTACCTAAAAATAACTTCTTGTTTCATGAAGGGTAGCAACAGGGTGGTACTGATGCCTTTCACCAGCTTGTTGATGCCACACTGGCAAGATATCTTTGAATAACACCACTAATGATTCCTAGGGAAGTCTCTGGAAGTAAAGAGAAGCAATCAGCAGGGATTTTCTTCTTGAAAGGAACTATATAAGTCCCTTGATTAAATGGGAGGCAGAAAGAAATGCTGAAATCTAGCAAAGTGTTGGGTGGACCGAGGCATCTTGATTCTGTAGTGTAGGTAGAGTCGAAAGTCATAGGTGAAGAAACTGGTAAGCTGGTTGGGTCAAGGAAAGGAAGTCAAATGAAGAAGTCTCAATAGTTGTTTTAAAAAAGAGTGGCAAAGAAGTTGCTCATTATTGCCAGTCTTGGTGATGTACACTCGAAATCTGATCACACAAGAGGCTGAGTTAGGACAATTGGCGCTGCACTGTGAGTTCTAAGCCATCCTGGGGCAACTTACTGAGACTTTGTTTCAAAACAAACAAACAAACAAATGGAAAAATAAACTGAACTAAAACAACAAAAAACAGCTACTAATTATAATGGAAAAACTGGAACCGTTTTATAGCTTTAAACTGAGACAGCACACTTTGCTTCTTTGACTGCTTGTTGATCTCACAAGATGGAAGGCTATGTGTTGCATGTTGACACACAAGACTCAGAAAGTAGTCTTAGAATGTGTGACAGGCTTTGGGAGTTTGTTGGCTTATTGTCAGACTCCTTTAATTTTAGAGAACTTTGTGTGTGTGTGTGTGTGTGTGTGTGTGTGTGTGTGTGTGTGTGTGTAAGTTTTACTTATATATCTGATGTGCACATCTGCACACGAGTGCTCTCAGGTGCTCTAAGGGTGCCTAATAAGAAAACTGTGTCTTTAGAAAGACATACTTGCTTTTAGATGGGGGTCAGGCTCTTGACCTGACAAAGCAAGACAGAGTGATGCTATGCTACTCTTCAGATCTCCTATGACTTGGCCTGTCCACAGCCTGCCTGGGAGGGCAGCACTGTTTTCCTTTATCATTAAAGTTCCTGTGTCCAGAGAAGCGCCTTATCACACAGGAAGTATTGATTGCACATTTGTCAGTGACCCTGCAAACTGCTTTTGTTGTAGGAGGCAGTGCAAGTATTGATTAAACACTCGGCTGATGTCAATGCGAGAGACAAGAATTGGCAGACCCCCCTCCACGTGGCGGCTGCCAATAAGGCTGGCAAGTGTGCAGAAGTGATCATTCCACTACTGAGCAGTGTCAATGTCTCTGACAGAGGCGGGCGCACAGCCTTGCACCATGCAGCTCTGAATGGACACATGGAGGTGAGTGTTCTCACCACTGGGAACGGGGGCCCACTACTCAGACCCTTTGTTCCGCCGATCAAACCACTGTGATTGTTGAGACTTTGTGAATCTGAGAGTAATAGAGGTGTGTCGCCTGGGTAGTTACATCCTTTCTCAAATTCAGACCATAATGAGTTGAGAAAGTAGACTGTCCTTTCTGTCTTCTTTGACAGGAGCAGCAGAGCTTGTTGTCTTCCTAGTCTGGATCCCTGAGCTGCTGTTAGGGTTGATGCTTATTTGGTTTGGATCACCAGCAGGTGGCAAGGAGCCCTCATCACTGCAGAGGGAATGCTTGATTTCACTGTTTGTTATCTTTCAGATGGTCAATTTACTCTTGGCCAAAGGGGCAAACATCAACGCATTTGACAAGAAGGACCGGCGTGCTCTCCACTGGGCAGCGTACATGGGTGAGGAGTCTGTGTTTGGAAAGCAAAGTGCCAGGGTCTATCTCAGGGTCTATCTCAGTGGCTACCTCATTGGTAGGGAGAGTGCCTAGTGTGCACAAGACCGTGGTTTTGATCTCCAGCATATTAAACAACTAAAAACCACAAGCGTACGACCTTAATTACAGATGCCATGGGCCTCCTGTTGACCATGTAGGATTTCTTGGGCAAATCTGACTTAAGGGTTGGATTCCACTTGAATGAAGACTTGGCCCATTTTCCTGGCATCTGTAAAGTGCTCTAGTTGGACAGTTGCCTTGTCAGAGGTTTATTTATCCCAAACGAGGGGGAGGATGACTCATGGCCTGGACCTCGCTGAACATTCTTCACTCTGGATTGGAAAGCTACACACACCGTGTGTATGTTAGCTTGTTATGGCATCGGATAAAGTGTTTGGGGAAGAAGGCAGACCGATTAACAAAGCAAGGACACCATGCTCTCTGTCTTGGCACTTATAAATATTTTTTAAAGAAACAAAGGGAAGGAAGAGAGGGAAGCTTCCTGGCTCTTCTCCTTGTGGAAGAAGAGGCGTTCTCATAGATAAGGCTTCTGCTATGCTGGGCACAAAGTGGAGGCTTGCAGCTGTACCTCTGTCCACTTCACGCCGCTGGAGCTGAAGGAAGAGGTGGCATCTCTCTTTTGTCCTTTTCTTTTGATTGGTACTAAGGCCTTGGGCACCTGATGGCCCTCACAGCTTACCCTCAACGCAGACATGAGAAATGAATAACTAAGATCCTTCTGTGCATCCCTGACTGGAGAACAGCCTGCAATTAGAAAAGATAGGGTTCTCTCAGGCCCAGCTGCACACAAGCTGACGCCCACCCTCAGGCCATTGTTTTGGTAAGTGGCGGAGGATCCACTCAGCGGGCACAGTAGGGAGTCCAGCAATGATGTCCATGGAGATTCATAAACATCAAGAGCTCTGTGACACTCCAGAGGGAGACACCCTATACAGAAGGATGTATAATACACTAATATGTGTAATATTTTCCATCGCTGTGGAAACTTCTATACAGTGAAGGGGAATTTGGAAAACAAATACTGAAATACTAGATGGGATTGGTGACTGACTCTTTCTTAGAGCATTTTGCCTGTTGGAGTCAGTTTCACAAGCACACACATCTTTTAATTTTTCATTTCAAAAATTAACATTAATTGTAGGGGGATAAAGAGTACATGAGGGCAAGAATAAAACAAAACCACCCAAGACAAATTTCTGAATGAATTCTTAGACTTACAGACCCCAAGAACCTTAACATTTTGTAGGAATTTCTGTGTAGCGGAAGACCTTGAACTGATCCTCCTACTTCCCAAATGCTGGAATTACATGTGTGTGCCACCATGTTTGCTCCTGCCCTCCCCCTTATTTTTTCTTTTGACTATTACAGACCTTTGAGATGGCTAAAACCAATGGGCTGCAGTATACCCTGAGCTACTCAAAGAATCTGGGGCTTCAAGTTTATGCTTTGCTGATGTATGGTTACAATATTTTTTTGTGATGCAAAGAAGTCAAATCGTTTTTGCTCATGTCATCAGGGCACAAACAAAGGTGACAATCCGTAGGAGATAATGGGAGGAAAACTGGGGCAGGTAGCTTGAGATAGCACCCCTAGCAACTGAGAAACTTTTTTCTATATACAATTTTTTTTTTTTTTTTAGACAAAAAATTAAATTTTGATAAAGCAAGCTAGTACCTCCCTCCAGCCTCCCCTATGAATTTTAGGTCTCTGAGTCAGCATTCATCTCCTGCCCTTCGGTTAGTCACGTTTATAACAGTGAACTTAAGCTTTGAACAGTCTTCAATTACAAAATGAAGGCCAAACTCATTTATTATCGTGAATTAGGGAACAGAGTTCAAATGCCCACAAAAGTTGAGATAAGGAAGGTTTTCTCTTTAGTGAATAATTTATGGGAGTTATTTTACAAAGAAACAGAAGAAATTGCCTTTTATGAATTAAAGCCCAACAAAGCAACGGCAATTTCAGATTTAGCAGTAATCTGGGAGTATTTTTTAGATTGGTTTTCTAAACTAAATTGTTACTGTTGGGAGTCTGTATGTTTGCATTTTTGGAGTGAAGAATGGTAATTGCTTGCATTTTAACACAGCCCTTGTTACTGTTTCCATATTGAGGCAGGGTCTTTCTCAGGCATCTAGGCTGGTCTGGAATTCACTCTGTAGCCCACTCTGCCTTTGAACTTGTAACTTGCTTGCCTTAGTCTCTTAATTGCTGGGATTACACACTCAACATCAACACAATTTTTAAAAGGCTGTGCTACTAATATATCGTCAGAATCTGGTTCTTTGTTACCATGGTGAATAGCCACTACTTCATTCACTGTTACACATGAATCACCTTCCCCCGCACCATGGGATTTATATAATGTCCAAACATAGTAGGTACCCAGCAAATGCTCCTTGACTATTTTCCATGAGGCAGCTTTTTCTTCTTCTTTTTTTCATAAATGCATCGGGAAAATACTGGTGGGGAAAAAAGGCTAATAATGATCTTTCGGGTGCAATGAGTTGTCAGAGTGTCTTCTAAAGGTTAACGATGTTTTCTCTGCTCTGTTTGTCAAGGCCACCTGGACGTTGTCGCACTACTTATTAACCATGGCGCAGAAGTTACCTGCAAGGATAAGAAGGGTTACACCCCCCTGCATGCTGCAGCCTCCAACGGGCAGATCAGTGTTGTCAAGCATCTCCTGAACCTGGGGGTAGAGGTAAGCCTTCATGGCTGCATCGCTGCACGGTTCAAGTCTTTCCATGCGGGCCGTCTTCTGCTCTTTAATGAAATCCTGTTTGCATTTATATTCAAACTTATTTCCTTGGATCATGTGCTTCTTAGTTTATGTGGCCTGATAACTTGTGATGGGGCAAATAGCAGAAACCACAAACAGACTATAGACAAGAGAAATGTATAAGCACACATACACTGGCTTCATGCACCTCCTCCCAGCTAATATTTATAGTCTCTCTCTATATATTCAGTGTAATATGTAATGATCAAGACCTTCAGAAGCAGGCCTTGGAAGTTGTGGCTCACAGCAGGAAAGAATGAATGGGTGGCTGGGATTGAATGAGCTAGAACAGTCGGCCAGTCTCATTCCCCTTCAGCTAGGAGCAGTACTGCTCAGAGGAACAGAGAACCAAGTGCTATGTGAGACCAAGATGGTAACAGCCAGATCCTTGAGCAGGTCTGAGGAAAGCACTAGGGAGCTACAGACTAACGTATCTCAGTTCTGCGGGTACATCAGCCTGGTGAGCTGTCAGGCTCCAGGCTTGAGGGCACAGGGTCCACAAGCCAGTGTCTTGCTAACCCAGTCCTCCCTCTCCTTGGCTCTCCTTGAGCATGGTACCTGAGCCCATGAATTGGGTTTTCGCCTGTTCTTTTCTGGCAGTTTGAAGTATCTTCGCCTTCCATCTTGTTTATTTTCTCTAGCTGGCTAAACCTCCTCCCCAAGCTGAAACCTTGAATACCTTGTGGGTCATTTGGTTTTGCCTGTCTTTCCCCAGGGGTTTGTGGGGATGGGGAGGGCAGGCACTCTCAGGATAACCCGATGGGGAGCAAGTGAACTCTGAATAATTACGCTGATGGGTGGATATTTCCTTTCTCTCGTCAGAGCCATTAAGCCTTTTGTGGCAAATGGAGTAAACTGGCTCCAGTGGCTTTAATTGCTCTGTGTTGGATGCTTTGCAGATTGATGAAATCAATGTCTACGGAAACACAGCGCTCCACATTGCCTGCTACAACGGGCAGGATGCTGTCGTTAATGAGCTCATCGACTACGGTGCTAATGTGAACCAGCCCAACAACAGCGGCTTCACCCCCCTGCACTTTGCAGCAGCGTCCACACATGGCGCTCTGTGTCTGGAGTTGTTAGTAAACAATGGGGCCGATGTGAACATCCAGGTATGACACTCAGCCTCTCTGCCTTAAACACCTTTGCACTGAGCCTTTGAGCTAAACCACGTGTGCAGTCCGTGATGCTGCATTTCCGTGAACTGGAAGCACTTTGGCTCACACAGCCTAATCCTGGGTTGAGATGCCATGGAAAATGGTGCCTCTTCAGGTATGATGGTACCGGCAAGCAGGCACCAAGGCTCCATCATATCTCCTTTGTGAATCAGTGAATGCTCCACTTAAGGAGCTAGCTCAGCCCATATTTTAACTTAGATATCCATGGTTGGCAGAGAGGGGAGAGCTGATGATGATGCAGAGGAATGACTAATGATTATTTCCAATCCCAGCATGCTCTTCAAATGCTTTCCTCCAAGAGGATGCAAACAGTGGTTCCAGGGAAGGAACACTGACCCGATAGTGGAGAGCACTCCTTCAACCATGGTTGACCAAGGACTGCCCTGCTCTTAAAAAAAGACAGTGGGGGAGAACTTGAAGATGAGATGTGACCTCTGGCTGTCCATAGTCACAATACAGGAGATAAAACACACTCAGACACTTGAGGCAGGAGAGAGCATGATGAGTGCCAAGAGAGAAAGAGTAATAAAACTTTGCAAAGGAGATGACGCACAGGTTAGCTTGTTTCTTGTCTGGGGATAAAAATTTGAACTTGTCTTTGAGCTGAGAATTTGAGAGGAGCCACAGAACTAATCTGAGAGAGGGCATTCCCAGAAGAAAATGGTATGAACAGGGAGGGAGGAGCCACGGAGAAGAAAAGCTGTGTGTGGACTGGTAACTTACCACCGTGACGGCTGATGAAGGCAGCCTGTGTATCTGTGCAGCCAGTGTTCCCCATCTGGCTGGTACTGGAACAGATCTACCTTGTAGCAGAATACCCTGAGCAGTGTCCCCCACCGGCCTCAGCCTCAGCTCCCACCGGCCTCAGCCTCAGCACCCTCCCCCAAACCTCAGCTCCTCTCCTGCTTGCATTCAGGACTCTTAGAGCAAAGTCACCTACCTGCAGAGCGTGAAGGGCCAGAAAATATGTAAGTGCACAAATGCTTCAAACTTATAGATGGTAAAACAAAATAAAACTGGAAAAATAGAAGCTCCTAACAAACAAAGTGGAGAGGAATGGAAATTTGCATGCAGTATACGTGCCAATCAAAAGTTAATATTTGCTTAATATATAGAGTTCATGAGAAGAAGACTTCTGGTAGTCCGCTTGAAATTTTAAGCAAATGAGTAGAGCCCAAGTGAAAGTTTGTAATACCCAACAAGCTCATGAAAAAAATATTCCTATCATTAGTGTTTAGAAAAATGTTGGCTAATGCTTTAAGGTTGATAAACATAAAGAATGTTAATGCCTAGGCCTAGTATTATCATAGTACAGTGTGTATATATATATATACACATACATACATTTGCATATTTTTGTTGTTTTATTTTTTGAGACACAATCTCACTTTGTAGCCTAGATTGGCATGCATGCTTCTCTTCTTCTGCTGGTCTGAGTTTGGGTGACAGGCGGACACCACCATCCCCAGCTTCCCTGTGTGTGTCTGCGTGTGTACAGAAAAGGCATAAAATCGTCGGAGTAGCATCGATACACTAGCGTCAGTTACCACCTGCAGAGAACAAATTTTGACTTGGGATTTTAGTTTCCATTTTCTATTTTTGAAAGTCCTCTGATTCTCCTCAGTGGCCATGTTGTTTTTAAACCCAAAAGAAAGCATTTTTCATTCTGAGAAAAGAATAAATCAATAAACATAGCCGTGGCAGACCTGCAACTGGGCTGGCTTCACGGTAGCTGAAAGTCAGTGAAACTGGTGGAGGTGATGAGTCATGAAGATGAGGAATGGGAGGGGCCGCTGACGGGGGAAGCTGTGTAGAGAGAGAATCTACAAAGGTTGGCAGCACACGGGAGAGGAGCTGGAGGTGAGGAATGGAACCTGGGAACCGGGCGTGGCACTAAAGAGCCGTCACGTGTTTCGTTCTGAGGTAGGCTGTCCTAACTTCAGATAGGCCAGTCAGTCCTAGCACTGGCTTCGGAGAGCTAACCATCAGCGACCTGTCTGCGCCTCAGTTATTCTACTTGTAAAATTAGGGAAATGATGGCATCTTCACCGTGGATGCATTGTGAAGATTAAACATAGTTGCCATTCCAAATTATTTCAAATTGACCGTAAGGGAAGCACTTGATACTGTCCACGTACCTCGAGAGGATGCCAGGAGCAAGAGTAAGCACAGGAGAAAAACTGATTCGTATGTATTTTGTGTAGGTGCGGTGTGTATGCTACTGCACCCACGGCTGTGGAGGTCAGAGGACAACTTGCCAGCAGTTAGCTCTCCTCCAGCCCCCCGCTTAGTTAATCCGGCTCGCTGATGCTCTCCACCCCCTGAAAATGCATCCTGGTGCTCTGTGTCTGATGCCCAGAGCTAGAAAGCCTCTTTCTGGCACGCCTGCCCGCTGCTTCCAACTGGCTGCACAGTGCTCTGTTCAAATTAGATAATGGACTTAACCTGTAGAGGTTGCGTCGTCAGCCTTATTTATCTCCTCTCCCTTAAAGTGGACCCGAGGGGTTGGAGAAACGGCTCGGCAGTTTAACAGCTGCTGCTGCTCTTGCAAAGGATTGGGTTGAGTTCCTGGTACCTACAGAGGGTTTAAAAACTGTGACTCCAGTTTCAGAGAATCCAACGCCATCTTCTGGTATCTGCAGGCACCTGTACACACGAATATAGTACACGTATATACACTTAGTCACACATACATATACACGTACATTTACATGTACGTATACATCATGTACACACACACACACACACACACTTACATAAGTAAATTTTCTGAAAATGGGCCAGGTTAAATGCATATTTACTTACCCTTGGTGCTTAGTTTTCCTTATAGAATGTTAACCTTAAATAGAATGAAGGAAATGGCATCTTAAAACTCTTGATGGGTTATCTGAATCTTCTTTCTGTGAAGTTTTGAATTCATATCGAGCCTTTCTTGGCCTCCCCTCATCTCCCGTGTCTATCGGCTGTGAGTAATTACCTTCAGCCCCCCCTTCAAGGTTCAACGTTCATTCTAAATGCACCCCACCTCCCACATTTTCATATAGCCATCCAGTTTGAGTCAGAAGGAAGATTTCTAGGGTTGTACCACATTGCTCTAAGATTCTGAAAATGTTTGTGGGTATTGGACAGTTTGTACCTTTTTTTAAAAAGATTTTCCAAGTTTGACAGAAACAGCATATTGAAATCTAGCCAGTATCTACCCAGTGGTCACTTAGATTTCTTTTTCACTTGTAAAACACTAAAAATAGTGTCTTCATAAACAGTAACAAGACTGATAGAAAAGGGAGAGGATGTGTATCATGTGCATTTTATAGTCTCCTGTTTTATTAGGTTCATCTCATTTTACTTAGCTTCTACTTTTCACTGTTTAACTTTGATAAAGTAATAAAGACATGTTATTTTTATATAAAAATCTATTGAAGATTGACTTGTAATGTGCAAATAAGAATATGTCATTTTCTTCTCTATTACAGATTATAAGTTCTGTAGTATCTCAATGATACACACACACACACACACACACACACACACACATACATATATGTTTTTTTAACAAACACTCAAAGACTTCAAGAAGGTACTACATACAAAGCCACAGTGGACAGGGAAGAAAAACAGTCTCAGAGATTGCTGCAGCCACATTATCTAATTCCTGACATCTAACATTTAGTCTGGCCATGGTTTCCATTCTCTGTCCATGGACCTTTGGAGCATTTATACCTAGGAGATGATTGAAGCTGAAGCCTGCCACAGATCTGACGTGAGTGGGCCAGTTGCCTTGTCTGTCTGTTTCAGGGATAACTTACAGAATGGTGTTCACAAACTGGAACAGGCAGGAGGAAGCAGCAGAAGAAACATAATTGGGAATTTTGGAGAGGAAGTAAAGGAAGGAAGTAAAGAAAAAGTGAAGATTTGCGTCCGCACATAGCATCTTTGGCATTTGAACTATTAAGAACGAAACAAACTGAACTTCCATTGACTTAGGGAGCTTTGTTGGGTACCTGAGTTTACATAAATGACACCCATATCTCAACTTAGTGTGATCTCATAGCAGTGTTATCGCCTTGTGATAGGGCGCTGACTCCTGTGACGCTAGGATGCAGCAGGCCACAGAACGTGCCCTGTCTCCAAGGAGTATCAATGCTGTTTAGGGAGGAAGCTGCGGGATGTGTGGGAGGATGATCAGAGAAGGCATTTTGAATGGAAGGAAGGATGGATGGATACCTGAGGAACGTGATGGTCAAGATGATTCACATATTCTACTTAATTCAGGGGCAATGCTGTCCTCTACCCTACAAAAAAGTACTAGTATTTACCACAAAGTAATCTTAAATCTTGCTAGCATTCCCTTATGACTCAGGGCTTGGCCACACATAACAAAAGGGCTTCTTGTTTAATTAAGTGAATTCTCAAAATAAAAAATTTAAAGTCTTAAATCTGATGGGAAAACTATACCCAGGATATTGGAGGGAGACTAGGAATTAAGAAAAGAATTATTTTCCATAAAAGCAAAGCCTTGAGCAAATAGAAGGATTGGACACAATCTCCCCGAGTATATAGGCAGTATTGCCCTTGTCCAAGTTCCAGGGACAGTAACAACAACCAGGTCCCAGTGCGAAGATTTTATTTTTAGGCAGAAAATGAAGTGCAGCACAGTTTAGAGCCTCAGCTTTAATATTGAGCTCTAAAATTTAAAGGCCAAAGAAAGAAGATTGGCCTTTGAGTGTCTTTGGTTGTCAGGTGGTTTTTTTTTTTTTTTTTGTTTGTTTGTTTGTTTGTTTTTTTTTAAACAGTGAGCACTCTGTCCGTTCATACCATGTAAGCAAAGTGTCCCCCAAATGGTAGCCATGAAACTCAGGACAACTGGCTATTGCCTAGTCTAATCAGTAGACCAGAGTCTGCAAGGATAGATCTGAAATGAGCGCTATCCATACGAAACAGCTCATCTTTCGTGTTCTATCACCTGTGGTCATCTCTGCTTATTTGTTCCTTTACCAGAGACCCAAACACTCTCACGGGGCAGAGCATGGTGGTTACTCTCTTCTACACTGGACTGGGTTTTGCAGTCTATGCACTAGTAACTGCTTGCCTCTGCTTTGGCTCTCAGCTACTAAGTGAGTAATCCTTGGTAGAGCCTTCAGGTTCTTCTCCAGGCATGGGAAGGTGCTTGCTTCAATATTTATCAAGATAGTTCCTAAACACCAAAGTATTTGTAGCTTTATACACATTAAATTAAATCATAATTACTTATGGTTTTATAGTAAATCTAAGAGCAAATACTGGAGCTAAATTTAAAGAAACAGCACCACCTACGGACAAGTTAGAGTCAGCTCTGACGCTCCCACCTTTACTTTCCGAGAGTCTTGGGCGGCTATCGCTCTTACCTGAAGGGTTTGTACTTTTTTTTATTTCATATTCCAGGGCAGTTCCCACCTATTTGAGTTACTGGAACTATCTCCATTTCAGACCAGGCTCTGGAGTTACATGGCTTTTAGAAATGTCCATGAATGTGTCAAGGTCAGCGGTGAAGGCAAGCCTCATTCTCCCAGTGGATTTTCCTTTAAAAGGTGTTGTTGAGCTTACGTCTGTCCTTTCTCAGAATGTTCTGGTTCAGGCTATACTCACATTACATGGATCCTATTACCTTCCCTCCCATCTGCTGAAGAAAATTTTCACCATAGTGTCTTTTCTTCAGTTAAGATGCAGTTACCACTGTGGTTAACTCTTCAGTTGGCATAGACTTTGTGTAAGTACTTTCCTCTTTTCAAAGGAGTATGGATAGGGTATAATAGAGCTCTTTCTTATATTAAAAAACAAAAACAAACAAACAAACAAAAAACCCCACAGTCTAAAGCTTGCCCTTAACCTTGAGTGTGCCATGCAAGCTTGGGGTGGTGATGCTCATGTCCTGAGCGCATTCAGTAGCTGTGAACTAGCACACAGAATTGGTATCACCCATAAGCATCCATGGGTAGGAGTGGATCTCCTTGAAGAGGTGCTTGATGATTATCTGCTTTTAATTAGGGATTTTAAAAACAAAGCCATTTTAAAGCACAGATGTTTAGATTTTTATCACAAGATTGAATATTCATATGTGACACTTCATTTTTTTTAACCTTGGACTTGAAAACAATATTTCTATAGATATTTAGGAAAATAACAGTGATATAAGTTTTAAAGAACACCGAAGGGCCAGCAAACTGGCTCAGCAGGTAAAGGCTCCTGCCACCAAGCCTGCTGACACAACTTAGAACTTTGGGTACCACATGATAGAAGATGAGAACTGGCTCCCTCAAGTTACCCTCTGACCTCCATACGTGCGTGGTGGCAAATGCCTCCACACACAAGCACATTAAGTAAGTGAATTAAAGTGCAATAAAATTAAAATGCAGTACTTGCACGAAGACAGGGACACTCCTCACTGTAAGTCCAAACCTGTCGTAAGCCTAAAATGCCTGTAACAAGTTCCCTTCCCACGAGGAGCGTCCCTCGGCAGCAGTCCTCTCCAGTGTCTGCTGCTCGCCTGCCAGCCCTCCGCACCTCCAGGGCTTCACACTGCACGTCGTAGGGCCAAGCTCCCAGGCGTGGTTTCAACTGAATGCGAACAGGTCCATGTGATCCCAAGGTCAGGAATGCCGAGTGGAGCTGCGGTGAGTTGAGGGAATTCTGCACCCCTTCAGTTTCTCCGAGCTGCATTTTCATTTCTCAGTCAGCTGCGGGGGAGTCTGGTCTTTGGTCTGCTGACAGTCAGGAGATAAGTTCTGTACATTTCCTATGTTTTGCCTTAGTCTGTTTTAGGAAGTTTCATGACTTTTTTTTGGTCATGAGTAAGGCGCGTGTAAATTCCGCACACATTTATTATCTGCCAAAGTAAAATGCAGGCGATGGTGCAGCGTTTCCCCTTGGTTTTGAGAGTTGAATCAGCTTAGTCAGCTGCAGGTCAGCCAGGCCCATGCAAATTCGCTCCCCTCTCTAGCGGCTGAGAACACCCAAGGAGATGTCCTTTGTTGGCTGATGACAGGGAGGAGAAATCATGTTGGGTGATCACTTCTCTAAGACTTCATAAGATGGGATGTCTATACTTTTTTTAGGCTGGTGAGATGGCTCAGCAGGAAGAGACACTTGATGTGCAAGCCTATGGCCTGAGGTTGATCTCCGGAACCCACCTGTAGCTAGAAGAAGAGATTGTACCCTGCAAAGCTATCCTCTGGTTTCCACATGTACACCATCCCTGTCCCCTTTCCACCATTGTCCACACACACACACACACACACACACACACACACACACACACACACGAACACGCACGTACACACACACACACACCACACACACACACCACACACACACACGTAATAGTAGTAACAATAAGCAAAAGTTAAAAAATTTAAAGATGTGATGTGATAAGTGGCTGGAGAGGCCTTACATATGTTGCATCTTCTTATGTAATATTTTTATTCTTTGAGAATTTCATACATGTATCCAGTGAATGTTGATCAAATTTAACTGCTCTCTCCCTCGATCAGATATGCATGGATGTGGGGCTATTCACTGGAGCAAGGTCAGCTCACCAGAGACCACACCCCTCAATTAAACTGACTTTCCTTCCGCTGGCAGCCATCAGTGGTCAATAGCTCCACAGCCCCTCCCCCATCCCTGAGCTAACTGGGTTGCTTTTGTGGAGGGAACAGGGGCTGCTGGGAGTTCCTGAGAGCCCAGTCCTGTCATGCCTGGAATACGTTTGTCCTGGTCCTCCTCAGCCTCTGCCCCTTAGATTCGTTATCTCTTTATTTCAAAATTGACTCTTTGTAGTTGTTGACTGCACTTGTAAAACAAAAGTTGAAACCGGTGTTTCCAGGGCATAGAGAGTGGCTTTCACAGTGAGTCTCAGGCCAATGATACCGGCTCACAACTTGTTTCTCCTTTCTCATTTTGTAGAGTAAAGATGGCAAAAGTCCCCTGCACATGACGGCTGTCCACGGACGGTTCACGCGCTCACAAACCCTCATCCAGAATGGTAAGGGGTATGCTTCCGTGGTCTTAAAACCTTGAGCGGTTTTCTCAGATTGCACCGGCTTTAATGGGCTATATGAAAATCGGTGCTGTGTTTGGGATTTAGGAGGCATGGGTTTACACAAGGCTTTGCAGTCTTGCTGAATGCTCACCGTCTCCCCCATTAGCGGGGAGAATGGAAAACCATGTTGTAGTCAGTTCCCGGACGGGAAAAATGTGTGCTTGGCCACTGGAAAGATGGATAGGCTTCACTTTTAACGAAGCTAAGCCTCTGTGGCTTGCATTTTCTGACAGCTGATCTGAGTTGTTTATAGATTGTTGAAGCCAGTAAAGGTCCCAAGTTTAAGCTCATTAAACCACTCGGACAAAGGAAGAAAGAGGTGAAGTGACTCAGGGTTTAAGCAGGTAAGTTTGTGGTGAAACCACAGGCTTGACAGAGAGCTGGGAAAGCCATGTAGCACAGTAATTTTCCAGGCTCCCAACAAAAGTGTACTTGAATGTCACTGGGCCATCCCCGAGGCCAGAGTCCCTGACGTCCCATTGCATGTCACAGGTCATTACCCTTAGGGCCACGGAGGGCCTCTGTGAGCAGATTAACTTTGACAACACAACTTATATGATCTGAGCAATTGCCTTAGAGACAATTTAAAAACAAGGACAACAAAACACGGGTTTGCATTGGACAAGTAAGCTGACATTCCTGGTCAATTTGGTAATGCCTAAATTATGTTTTGTAGACTCAAACCATCATCCAGTTCTCAAAATTCTAGTGTGAATGGCTTTTCTTGGATTCTCTATTTTATAGCTGCAAGAGTCTGGGGCAGCATGGAAACTTAGTGGTACTGAGTTATAACTTAGGCCCTCAAGTCATAAAACCAAAACCAACCAACCAAACCAAACACGGGTCACTGATGATGCTTAGGAAGTGACATATCCACAGCAGTGCAGGGGACATTCACAGGCTTGTCAGTGAAGCTGTGTGAGGAAAGACACCCAAGCAAGCTTTCGGAGAGTCAAGAAGGAGACGTGGGAATTCCCTGCACAATGCCCGTCACTCCTAACAGAAAATAAAGGCCTCTCCACTTTCTTATCCTATTATGTTTCTCCCCAGCTTTTCAGGAAGTATCTATCCCCCTCAAAACAAAGCAGGCTTAAATTTAAATATTCACATTATATATAAATATATATTTTACAACATATTTTTGTATGTTATGTGTGATATACATATGAGAACATATGTGTCTGAGTGCCTGAGCAAGCTCGTGCTGAGGCTAGAGCAGGATGTTTGGTGTGGTCTTCCTGTCTCTGTCTCATTGTCTTGAGAAGGGCTCTCTCACTGAGCATCTGGGGGTTGCAGCCAAGCTGGTCAGTGAGCTCTTGGGTCTGCTCTCTCTCTTTCTCTCTAGCTCTATTCTCCTCTCCCTCTCTCCCTCCCAGTGCTGGGGTTATGAACATAATCAGCCACACTCAGTTCTTTATGTGGCTGCTGGGTATTGGAACTTAAGTCCTTGTGGTTGCAGGGCAAGGGCTCTTAATCACTGGGCCATCTCCCCAGCCCCTTGAACTTCTTTTACTATGAGTTTTATCAGTGGACTTTAGCTATATGAAACAAAAACGTATTTCTTATTAAAGCAATCTCCAGTAGCATAAACAAGGTGGAGAGAAGAATTAAAAGAATTAAGAAGAATTACAGAAATTATGTGTATGTATGTATGTGCACTCTGTGTATTCCTGATTCTCGCAAAGACCAGAAGAGGGTGTCAATCAGGATTGACTCCCTGGAATTGGAATGACAGGTCCTTGTGCACACACAATAGACTCTAGGAAACAAAGTCTGTCTTCTGCTAAATGTTCTTAACTACTGGGCCAGCTCTTCAGCCCTGAGAACATGTTTCAAACCTATGAGCTGCCTTTTTACTAGTCTCTCCTTCTGCGAGAGCACACCTGTATCTCCTCCAGTGTAGCGTTTGGCCCAGCCGCCCTCTTCCAGCATGCTTACAGCACTCCTGGGGCCTGTTGGCTGCCTTGACTTCTCCATTGGTCACACTTTGAGTCTCCTGCACTTTGAGGTTAGGGCAGGGGCTGAGAGTCTTAGCTTCTGTGTGTAAGAGCCCTTGTCTTAAAGCTTATCCCACCTGTGCCTAGCTGGCATCTGGCCGATAGGTGGTCTAGGATCCTCAGGCCTGAACTGATGATACGATACGCAGCAGCTGTAATACAGAGGCCAGCTAAATGTTCATGCTGTGCCAGGCGCTTAGCCATACATCGCATAATTCCCTCTCACTGTTCCGGGAGGAAGGAGCACTGTTACCAACCTCACCTCAATTAAGGCTGGGCAGCTATCACCGGTGGTGTTGGGTTTTCTGAGCAGCATGTGGGGGAGTAGGAATTGGGACACAGTCTAGCATTGGAGAGCAGCCTGTTGGACACCATACGTGCAGATATGTCTCCCTGAAGAACTGGTACTTAACGGTGTTCTTTCAAACTTGAGTCCAGTTCAGAATTGCCTATGCTTGAGATAGAGTTGTCCCTACAGATGGACAACTCAGTGCTTTTTCCTCTCTGCTTTTATTACGTCCATGAGAACTGTCAACTCCTCCATTTGACCTTCCTGGTATTTGAAAAATGTTCTTAGGGAGCAGAGGAAGGTCTTTTCTTTCTTCCTGTTTATTTTCTTCCTTCTGGAAAAAAAATACTGCTCCTGCTGAGCCCCTGCCTCCCTAGAGGCTCACACCCAGGCCTGGTGTCGGTTTCCAGAGCTTGTCACTGCTCACATAAACTTCTCTGTGTTAGGAGGCACTATTGCAAGGGGACACAGTTGGCCATGCCACTGGGGAATGCCCTGTGTATTTCTTCTTGTTAGGCAGCTTCGATGTTCTGCTCCTGGAGAGCATTCCTCCAAGTCTGCTCTCCAGTCAGGATTATTAAATCCATGAGAAAACCTCCTTCCTCCAGCATCATTCAGCTTTGGGAAGGCAAGCCCTGAAACAAACAAGTACAAAACCCACAACTTTTCCTTTTCCAGTTAGAAAACAAAGTGTATGTACATGGTCCCAAATCGCACTGTTTGCTGTTGTAAGCCACCGTGTCACAGCAGGAGAGGGTGGGAACTACAAGATGGCACCGTGTGGAATCAGGCGTTTGGTGCAGCTATTGGCACAAGGCATCAGCCTCACATGCTGTCCAGCAAGTTACAAAGTTCAAAAATGCCATTGCCTTAGATTCTGCCAGTACTAGCCCTCTTTATTTTTAAAACTTCTCAAAGTACTAGCTTATGATGACTCAGCATGAGATTTTTTTACTCTTTGGCTCTTAGTCCTTCTGAAGCAATATAACATGACCATTCTTGTTTGTGAATGAAGAGCTAGTTTCGGATGAATGCCAATAATCCCTTTGAACACGCCATACATGCCTTTAATGTGGTAAAAGCTTATTTTACTCACTGATTATTAATGATCAGTTTGACCTATTTAACATGCAACCTTCACATGAATGGTGAAGATATTTAATGTAGACTCAGAGCAAAGCTTAAAGAGTTACAAGTGGAAATGGAAATGAAAATGTCTGTGGAGCGCTGATAAAATAAAAACTCACTCACCCAGAGGATTTACTTTAATGGAAACATATTTTCAGATAGAAATGCAAGTCTCTCTTATTTTTTCTATCGTATGATCCACTAAAACATATTTTAAATGACAGCAAATGCACATATATCCATATGTGTATATATATGTGTGTGTGCGTGTGTGTATATGTAAATATATATATATATATATATATATATATATATGGCGATTTTTCTTACATGGCTTTAAGTTGACTTATAAAATGACAGTGTCAATGAGAAACCTTTCAGATTCAGACTAAAGTGGTGTTCTTATCCTTGTTGATATTTTCATCCTCCTCTTTCTCTGTCCAATTTGAGGGTGGTAAACCTAGGCCCTACATGTCATCAGAAACCTTTGGTGGCTCTCAGCACAGAAGGATGTGTGGCTATGTAATGGTATTTGGAACAAAGGCTCCTCTAAAGTCTAGGATCTCCCTCCTCTTTTCCCTAGACCAGCTCCATGGCTGAACTTTTCAGGCAGACCACAACTCAGGTCCTTTGACAGATGCATACACCCTGGACTGTGCTGGACTAACCATGGAGGCCAAATGGCTGCCAAAAATACTCTCAGGTCATAAAAGTGAATTGATCTAAATAGAAGCCTCTAAAATCAGGTCACAGTGAGATATCTCTAGTCTCTACATGATCACAATATTTATCATTTTTATTATTACAAAATAATTGAACATTCACTGCAAACCAAAATGAAATCACTGAATGATCTCCCTAGTCAGAATTGCTATTGGCAATTTGGTATAAGTTTTGGAATATATAATTTTCTCTCTCTGTATAGGTATATATAGAAAGATAACATAGTTACTATTTTACAGGAATGACCATAGTGTGTTTAAATAACTCATTCTAAAAATGGTAATGAATTCCACAGAGAGACACAGATGTGAGTAAAGAGCAGGGCTTGGATTCAGGTTGCCATTGATACTTCTCTGCTGTGGTCAGAGGAAAGAGGAGTTACCCTTCGTAAACAGCGTTGTCAGCTGTGCACGCACAGACTTCTCAGCAACAGGGTAATTCTCCAGGTGAAGATCTAGACACACACGTCTCTGAGACAGCGGGAGCACCTCAGCGCTGTCAGTGATGGGCACAGTTTTTGAAGCTTTCGCCTCCTTCACAAAGGCCGCACATTTTAGAATTTTATTTTATTGCAAAGATTGTTATCAACTGCCATATTGTAACAATGTACTTGTCCAATAAAAAAATATCACCTCCTGAAAAATCAACAACCCTGGTGATGTGTTGACTGAGATGAGCAAAAGTGGGATTTGTTGGCTCCTTGGACTGAAGAGATGTGCAGATATGAGGGAGGCATGCTGATATTTTTATCACAAGTGGGTCCAGGCCTGGAAGTTCATGCTCTTTCACAGATCCAGGAAGGCCCT